CGGTCACGTGTCTTCGCCACCCGGGCGTCGCGGGGGTGAGGGGGGGAACGGACTGGGCAAGAGGGCGCCCGCAGCGTCTTGCCCGGCCCCTAGCCCCGAGGACCCTGCGGCCAAGACTGAGGGCCCTGAACTGTTGCACAAGCGGTGTACCTGGGCTGCTCCCTGCGCTCTCATGGACCTGGCTTTCCGTCTGTGCCATAAGCCTGTCGGCCTGTCCTCTCCCACATACATCCCGCATGACTGCTGCATAAGCGTCTGCGTCTTGTGCTGAGTTGTTTGTTTGAGGCAGGGTCTCATGATACAGTTCAGGCTGGCCTGGAACTTGCAGCGATCCTCCTGCCTCTGCCTCCCGAGTGCTGGGATTATAGGTGTGCTCCATCATTCCCCGCTCCAACACGTGTTGTTCAGTATAGAGTCCCTCAGACCTACTACATGGGTGACCCTCATGGGCCCTATAGCTCAGGAAGTGCCGGATAGGGGAGCTGGGCTGTTTTAGTGTTGCTTTGACTTATCCATACTTTTAGAACAATAGAAAAGGAAGACCAAGGACTGAGAAATTTGTCCCAAGAAAAGGCAGTGGAGGGCCAGGGATTTGGCTCAGTGGTTAGGCTGCCTGCCTCACAAACACAAGGACCCCAGTTCCATCCAGTACTAAAAAAACAAAAACAAAAAAGATAGTGGGCAGCCTTACAATGATTTTCTATACAAGTGACTTCATATACATTAGATATATATATATATAGATATATATATAGATATATATATAAAATGTATATATAAAATTGTTCTTATTTTTTAAATTTATCAGCAAATCAATTGACATTTGGACTTTAAAACCTCTGCATCCCCTCCAGTCAGTCTCCTCTATTTGATGGCACTGGTAAAAGACAGGTAAAAAGAGACAAGGAAATCATAACTAAACAATTATACTTTTACATTTTTTGCTTGTTTTTTGTTTGTCTCACTATGTAGTTCAGGCTGGCCTTGAACATGCAGCAATAATCCTCCCACCTCAGCCTCGCCAGTGCTGGGGATACAGGTGTGCCCCACAATGCCCGCACACCCTGAAAATGTGGAAGAGTCAGGCCTAGTGCCACGCACCTGTGATCCCTGGCTCTCTGGAGGCTGAGGAAGGAATAACAGTTATAAAGGATGGAATTGAGGAAGTGACTCCCTACCATCCATTTAAATTCTATTCCTGCTTCCCTTATCCTAAAAGGGGTTTAAAAAAACCGAAAAAACCCCAGTAGCTCTCCCAGCCTCCCGGTGCTCTGCCTGAGAGCACATGTTTGTTGGGTCTCCCAGCTTGACCTTCTGGTCACCCTACTCCTACTCCCACGTCATTACAGGTTCATAAATATGCACATGCCATAAATACAACTAAGAGCAGAAGGAATTCTGGGACGCGCATGGGTGTTGGGAGAACCTAAGGTGACTCAGCCCCCTAGCAATTGTTCTTATCAATCACGTTTACCAAACTGGGTGTGGTGACACAGGCCTGTGATCAGCCAGGCAAGAGGATTACCTGAGTTCAGGAGCTGTCTGGGCTACATAGTGAGTTCAAGGCCAGCCTAGATTAGAAAAAGAAATCTGTCTCAAAAAATATACAAAAGTGGCCGGGGATTTAGCTCAGTGGCGCCATGCCTGCCTTGCAAGCACAAGGTCCTAAATTCGATTCCCAGTACTGCAAAAAAAAAAAAAAAAAAAAAAAGACTGGAACTTTCAGGAAGCAGCCAGTTACCCAAGGTGATGCATATCAATATTCCTTTGCTTACATTTAGAATCTTTCCCTGCCATCACACCCAAAATTCCTCAGGAATATTAAAGTCCATAGGAAAGTAAACAACAGCCAGTCGAAGTGGTGCATGCCTATAATCTCAGCATACAAGAGGCTGAGGCAGGAGGATTGCCAACAGTTCGAGGCCAGCTGGGACTGCATAGTAAGACCCCATCTCAAAAAAAAAAAAAGAAAAAAAAAGAAAAAAGAAAGAAAATGAAAAACAGAAACCTGATCTCAAGATAAAAAGCAGGTTGAGCAAACCCAAAGAATGTCCAAACTACTGTACTTTCTAGGTGTGGCAGCCCATGCCTGTAATCCCAGGTCCTGGGGAGCTTTAGGCAGGAGGATCATTGTGTGCTTGAGGCCAACCTGGGCTATGTAGTGAGAGCCTGCCTCAAGAAACCAAAACACACTGCCTATGCCTACCTCGGGAGCCCAAGGGCCCAAATTCGATCCCTGGTGCCAAAACAAAACAAAACAATACACACACACACACACAAATAATGTGCCAATTACCTATTTGAAAAACACAAATGCCCACGTGTGTAAAATGGACTCATACCCTTCAGGGGTACTTTTTCCCTGGCTTTTCCACCCCTTCGAGAGGGTATAAATGTTCCCACCTCCAGATGGATGTGGCTGTTGGAGTGCCTGCTCTCCGCCCGAGTGCACCGTGTCTGTGTCTGATAAACCTTTCCCCAGCCTCTTACTAATGCATCCTGGAAATTCTTTCTCTGCAATAGGAGCCACCAAACCCGCAGCAAGAGGGAAGGTGAAACTGCTTATTTCAGCCTCAGGGACCCTCTGACCCTGCCAGGTGGCATGGGACATGCCCACTAGGACCACACTGCCCAGCAGAGCAGACACACAGCTGTCCTGGTCTCTTTTCACCCAGTGCAAAGGATTTTTTTGCTCACTCTGTAGCTGGGGAATTGGCTCCTGGGCACCCTTTCCCTCGCAAGCAGACACCACGCTCCTGCCTGTAGAACGCTCAAGTCTCTTCGGGAAGGTGGCACAGCCTTCGTATGTAGCCTGTGAACTGCCCCCTGTACACCTGGGATCAGCCCAGGTGACTTCTGTTGAACAGAACATGGCACTGTGAGAATACTTATTCCCCAGACAATGACCAAGAGTCTGGCTGTGTTCGGCACAGACAATTTTTCCCAAGCACTTCTGGTCCGTGGTTGGGGGAAGCTACGACTGTACTGTACGGGTACACAGGACCAACTATATACAATGTTTCTACAGAATAAAAGATTAAGTTGTTTTATATGAAAATACAAAAAGAAAAGAAAGGAACTATAGGAAAAATATAAAAAAGGAAAGTTGCTGTAACTGCACAACTACAAGGACTTTTTTTTTCTGAATAAAAAGAAAATCAGCCAAGTATTTGGGATCGTAAACGGTGACTGGTAGTTTCCACCATACTGTAAGGTGCATTCTCTCAAACTATGTTAGGATAGCAGCGCATTAACCATCCGACATGGAGAAATAAAAAAACAGTGGCCAGTTCTTTTTTTTTTTTTTTGAGACAGGCTCACTATGTAATTGAGGCTGTCCTTGAATTCATTATGCAACCCAGGCTGGTCTTGAACTTGTGGCAATCCTCCTGCCTCAGCCTCCCAAGTGATAGAATTACAGGCGCACGCCACCACACTGGCCCAGCCAGTAATTTTAAGATGAGGAAAAGCACAAATGATACCTCAAGAAAAATATGGACATCTGGCTGTCATTTGAAAAACAAATTCTATTCCCATTGTGCCCCACGCAAAAATAAATTCCAATGAATGAAATCTTTGCAAGGGAGAAACCTATATCATTAGAAGGAAAATACATAGAAAAATGTTTACAATCTTGGAGAAGAGATAAAGCTCAAAATCCATGAGTGATGAGACAACCTTATCACAAGATAAAATTTAAAACTTCTGTGTAGTAAATGACAAACATCAATATGAGAAAGTATTTACACTTTTTATAATAAAGACTTAGCATTCTTAACATAAAAAGAAGAGCTCTTAATGGGCTGGGATTTACCTCAGTGGTGCCACACCTGCCTCGCAAGCACAAGGTCTTGAGTTCAACCCCCAGTACCAGGGAGAGAGAGAGAGAGAGAGAGAGAGAGAGAGAGAGAGAGAGAGAGAGACAGAGAGGGAGCTTTACTTAAAAAGAAAAACCAAACACCTTCACACAAAAGCAAAAATAACAAAAACAAAGCTGAGCGTGGTGGTGCACGCCTGTAATCCCAGCACTTGGGAGGCTGAGGCAGGAGGATCACTATGAGTTCGAGACCAGCCTGGGCTACATTGTGAGTTCCAGGTCAGTCTCGACTACATAGTGAGACCCTGTGTCAAAAAAAACAAAAAAAAAAAGAAAAAAGAAAGAAAGAACAAAAACAAGCTGGGCATGGTGGCACATGCCTGTAATCCCAGCACTCTGGAGGCTGAGGCAGAAGGATTGTCTGGAGTTTGCAAGCCTGCAAGACCTTGTCTCAAAAAGAGAAAATCTAGAAGTCTTTTGGTGGAGTTCTTGGAGTCTTCTATGCAGAATATCATGTCATCCACGACTAATGATAATTTAACTCCTTTCTTTTCTATCCTTATTCCTTTTATTTCTTTCTCTTATCTAATCGCTCTGTCTAGTGTTTCCAAAACTATATTGAACAAGAGTGGTGACAGTGGACATCCTTGTCTTGGTCCTGATTTTAGAGCAAAAACTTTCAGTTTCTGTCCATTTACCAAGATGATGGGCTGGGAATTTAGCTCAGTGGTTCTGCCACCTGCCTCGCAAGAGCAAGGTCCCGAGTTCGATCCCCAGTACCAAAAAAAAAAAAAAAAAAAAAAAAAAAGCATTTACTATGATGTTGGCTGTT